AAAGACCCTGGAAACCCAAAAGAAAAAAAAAAAAAAAAAAAAAAAAAAAATTACAATGACCTCATATTTACACATACTATACTTCAGATAACTAAAATAAAATATGTCCCCAAAAAATCTCTACCAAAAATAAAAGCATGGGACTGCTATCTCAATTTCCCTTAGGTTGCCTGAGAATTTCAGAATCTTAAAGGTAATCCAGTTCAGTCTTTAAAAAAAGGTTATAAAAGCACAAAGAAGTTAATTGACTTGACTAAGATCAATTGCCAGAACAAAGATTGGAATCCAGCCATGAAATTCGAATTAAATATACTTGTCATCACATTGAGGCTTTAAAAAACTTTTAAACTGATGTGATTAAGAACTTTTCCTTGAATAAATTATTTTAAATTACTAGGAGACTGCTTTGTAAGTTTATAAGCTAGTTTCATGTATTAAACATAAAAATAGCCAGTTTTCCTTTACTAGACCTTTAGTTGTAGGAAAAAAGCTATCACACCAAATATAGTCAACTCAATTATTCATGGCTCTTAAAAATTAAAGATTGTTTTTCAACACATTTTAAAATCCTATACTTGATTCTTCCAGCTACCTAACACTTTTGAGTTGGTGCATTTGCATACCCCAGCTATCAAAAAGGTCCTTAAGGAGTAGAACGTGATTTTGATGTAGATCATTCTAAGCAACACACAATTAGTTTGGGATATTTTCAGAGACGTACAACATATCCTAAACCAAAGAGATACTGGAGTTGATTCTAAATTATTCACTGATATTCTAAAGTAGTATCCACAATTAATCACTAGTGCTTTTGCAAAGTGCCCTATTTGCTTCGACTGTGATTTCCTTTCAATTATTATGTACAGATCACAAACCAACTTGGCAAAAGGCATGCTGAAAGGATATATAAAATGTGTAATGTGAACTGAGCTTGGTTGTGGATGCCTGTAATCCCAGCACTCTGGGAGACTCAGGTAGGAGGATTACAAGTTTGAGACCAGCCTGGGCAAATGAACAATTTAGCAAGACCCTGTCTCAAAATAAAAACATGAAAAAGGGGTGGGGATGTAGCTCAGTAGGAAGGCCCTGGGTTTAATCCGAAGTGCCAAAAATGCAATGCAAAGTGCAAAAATATAAAGTATGATATAAATAACAAGCACCTGAGGATAGCCGAGGAAGGGAAACACAACAGAGGCTCCACCCTCAGAAGCTGGATGGGACCATGGAGAGTTTGAAGACCAAGATGAGAAAGTTCACCCTAATAAAGACAGTGACATGATTTGAGATTCCACTTAAAATTCTAAATTTCTGTGATTTAAATTTTTTACCCTATTAACTGTGGAGCACTTGTTGAAATATATGTCTAATATTTCTTTAAGTTGTTCAAATTTTATAAAACAAGGATTCTCACTCAGCTTAAATCAGGATGAATACTCGGGCAATTTCTATAAGGAATAAGATACAAGAGCCTAGATATTCCAGTCCTTTTTTTTTTTTTTTTTTTTTTTTA